ATTCAAATTTTGATTTCCGCATAATCAATCAGATAATCAATTATATCATACGAGATTTTAATGGGGTTGTGCAACAAAAAAATTCAATGCATATAACCACCTGACTATATGCATGCATGTTTATTTGTGCGATTAACCAAATTTTCTTTGTGCAAGAAATCTTTGGCGTAAACACATTCTTTATCTCTGTTCGATAAATCTAGAGGAAGGCACGGAAGGAAAGCGTTTAAAAAGGGCAGTATATTGAGTTATGGTTATTCATTTGCAATTTTATTCACATTAACATTTTTTACCATAAAATTCTATATTTTTTAAATCGACTCTAACAATGGAAAACTTTTTATTAACTTACGTCCCATTATCAACTATTACCGTTGCGAGTGCTTTATATAAACATCTAGAATCGGGTAAATGGAGTGGAAATCATGAGCAGGAGGTAGAATACTTTGTAGAGACATTAAAAAGTGTGTTACAGCGAGTGCCATCGGATGATAACGAACGTTTGAGGAAACTTCAGAGTTTTGGAACTGGAATCGATTTAAAACAGCGAGTAAGTTATTGAAATTAATAATAGCTTAAAGTAAATTAGATATGATGAATTTGATAGTTTTTTGTAGAGAAGTGATAGAAAATGATCGTTTGTAACTATATTTTGCCTAAGGGATTATCATATATTTTCATCACTTCTTACCTAAGTGGATGAAATATAAAGTAAAATTTGGGCAGTGAATGGACTTCGCCTATCCAAGTAATTGGAGCCGAAGTAGTAGCTGTCTAAATTTATTAAATACAATATGTGAATTCCACTAAGGTTATTTATTATAATTTGGCCAATATTTATGAAATTTTTATATGAAATTAAAAACTATCTCTGATCACGCGTACATTGTTATTAGATATTATTATCGCGATTCAAGTAACTTATTTTGACTTTATTTATTATTTTAGGTGTCAGATGCGCTTGATTATGTTCACTCTTTAATAGAATTGAATGCATTGGTATTATTTTTTTATCGTATTATTTTTATCTCATGGAGTTAGATTTAATAATGAATAATTATAATATTATAATAACAGAGGATCGAGACATCCTGGGTAGACAACGCGGTTAATAATTTCGAGTTATTAAAGCATGAAGTGCACAAGGTTTGTATTTTATTAGAATTAATTTTTTATTTATTCACAATACAAAAATATATTGACCTATGTATCTTTAGCTTGCAATATCAAGCTTCGGAGATGATAAAGAGATGTGGGAGAATGTGGAAAAGAAGTTACGTGAAATTAATATAGAAGAGCTGGGTTACGATCATCCATTATGCTCAGGTATATTGGATGATAGCTCGTTGCCTTTTACAGAAATGATAAAAGAATTTTGCGATATTTTCAAAAAACCGAGTCAAAAATTTCTAATACCAATCAACGAGTCGATAAAATGTCTTTGTAATGAATTTGTTCAAAAAGAAAAAGAGAGGAATCTCACAAAAACCTCCGAAAAACTTGGTGATGCAAGATTTGGTGAATTTTTAGATGAACCCGGAAAATTACAAGAGTTGACAAATCAAATGTTACAGGCATTAAAACGGATCTGGGTATCACCAAAATGGAAATTATTTACGAAAACTAGGGAACTTGCCATAAACGAGGGGTCATACGTATGTGAGATTATTTCACCGTTACTTAACATTGCAATGAGTGAATTACCAATAGACTCAGACGTATGGGGAGTATGGTAAGGTTTAGTTAAAATCTTTTAAATCATTGTATTTTTGATGATACTAACACAAGTTTTTTTTTTGTATAAAGGGGAGATCAGGCAAGTTCAGCTAGTGCTGAGCGAAAGAAATCTTCAAAATGTGCTAAACGACCTGATTATATGGTTATAATACAAGTGAAAAGTAAAAAAATCGAAATCGGATATCTTGAGACGGGACGTCCTGATTCTTCCCTTGATAAGCAAATACGAGATCTAGTGATGGTCACCAAAACTAAGGAGTTTTGAAATTGTTTAGTTTTGATAAGTTTCGAAACTAGTTTCACAATGAT